TGTGAAGAAAATAATTATTTACAAGTATTTTTGTCTGTAAATAAAAGAAAGAAAAGAAATTCAAAGAAAAGATGTCCCAGTTTAAAGAATCTTTTTTCTCAAAATTATTTATGTAAAATAAAGGTTTTGGAATTGTTTATTAAAATAAAAATTTTTAGATTTTGGTCTTATTTTTCTATCATTTAATTTGATTCAATTATTTTTCTTATTAGAACAAGTTAGGCGTTTTGAAAAAAATATTTATAAAACTTAAATTTAATTAAATTAAATTTTGTTTTATATTTTATATATATTATAATTTTTTTTTCTTCAGAAAACAACCAAATTTTTTTAATCAGTTTGTTCAAAACAAAGCGGTGACGCCATTAAGGATGCAGGAATAGGAAACAAAAGGATAAACCTCTATTCTTGTTCAAAAGACTAGGGAGAAGTGTAAACCGGACGATAGGCGAACCTATCATCACCATCTACTACTACTACTAATACTACCCTTCTTCTTCTTCTTCTTCTTCTTCTTCTTCTTCTTCTTCTTCTTCTTCTTCTTCTTCTTCAGAACTTAGTAAATTTTGTCTTTTTTCCAATATCTCCTAATCCCAGTTTTACCAAATAAATTAGGTAGGCTATACACTGCATTCCTTCTTTAATATGTCCTGTGATTATCAAATTTCCCAAGCCGCCTTTCCTCGTTATGTGCCCCAGAAATTTCAACTTTCCCTTTCTGATGATATGCATAAGTGTCCTTTTTGTTTCCATTTTCTCTAAAATTCCGTCGTTGTCCAAATGTTCAATCCCATGGTATTCTCAGAGTCCATGGTATTCTCAGAGTCTATGGTATTCTCAGAGTCCATTGTATTCTCAGAGTCTATGGTATTCTCAAAACCCTTCTGCAGAATAACATTTTTGTTGCCTTAAGTCTCTCCGCCATCTGTGATAAGATTTTCCAGCATTCTTTGCCATGTAGGAGTACTGATGTTACAACAGTTCAATACTTTTTTCTTTGTTTTTCAGCGATTTTCTATTTATTTAATACTTTGCTTACCTTTTGGAAGGCATTTTCATTATCCCTATGCCTCTTCGGATTTCAGTGTCGCATTTTCATTCCTCCATTAAAACACTTCTTAGATATTTAAAATATTGCACTTATTTACTTTTGATATCTCCAGTTCGTAATTAGCATGTTGGACTTTTTTCTTTATATGGCAGCTAACATATTTTCTTCTTTCTGTTGGCAGTTAGTCCTTTCTTCTCGCTTTCCTTTATTCTGTTTTATAAGAGTGCAAAATAGTTTGATTACATACAACCAACAAGGTCTCACTGCTTAATTTTTATTGCATTTATTCTTTTTTTTAATCATCCCCGCAAGCAATACAGGAATTCCCATAGTACACAGAGGGTTACACAGAGTGAAGATGAGAGAAAAGAGTGGGTATAGTGGAAACGAGGGAAGGATAAAAGCTGAACGAGGTTCAAGAAGATAGAACATTGCGATTGATGCTGCATTTACATTTTTGATGATTGTAGTTACAAGGGAAGTAAGGAAACGGAAGGGAGTTCCACTGTCGGGAAGCGCTAGAAAAAAAACTGTTAGAGTAGAAGTGGTGGTTACATTTACATAATTCAACAGTAAAATAGTGGGACCTAAATGCCAATCTAGTAGCAGACTTGAACTCGCGTAGTTCGAGCACCAGGGAAAAAAGCTCGCCAGAGCAGTTGCCATGAAAATATTTGTAGAAAAGAAATTAGAGGAACTTCATACCTTCTGAGTCCCCATTATATGATCACTGCAGCAAAAAGACAAAAAGCAAAAAAAACAAACAAACATTTTCCACTATATACACAAGGTAAAATAAGTTTTTGTGTAAATTTTAATATATATATTAAATATGAAGTTATTAAATTTTTCACTGCACATATTAATATTATTCCCTTTGAGAGAGTCTGTCATGCTATATTTTTTATTACTGTACAGTATATACACAGTACACTGTATAATATATATATATATATATATATATATATATATATATATATATATATATATATATATATATATATATATATATGTGTGTGTGTGTGTGTGAAAAGTGTGTGTATATAAATATAAAAATATATATATATAATTATTTATATATTATATGCGCGGTACTTATGAGAAAGCGCTCAATATCAGAGATAGAGCTAACATATTT